TACCACTAAGTATACCTGTTATAAATTCATTAACTGACCATCAAGTGAATGATGACAAATAACATGTGTAGGTTTATACCACCTAACACAGGTTACAACAAGGGAGTATTAATTGCTGTATTGCATGCAATTTCAATTGCATGTGAAAACTTATGGGCCGACACTGTTTTGAGAATACAAACAGAACTCCATTGTTGCATAAGAAATACACATAAGCATTTGCTGTGTGCTAAAACTGTTTGTACCTATTTACCTAAGTAAATCTTCAGATTCTTCTAGCAATGGCAAAGTAGGGTTGTTTAGTTTACTGATTCCAATAAAAATCAAATGTCAATTTTAATATCATAATAATAGACGCCATATTTTTACATGACATGATTAAATATCAAGGTAGAAAAACCACAGAAATGGGATCAATTTGGATCAGTCATTATACAAATAAGGCCTAACGACACCAAGCGATTTTGACAGAATCGTCTATGAAAACAAGGTGTATCTCGGAAACTAGGCAAAGCAGGAGACAAAATTAAATGACAGTAGATTGTGAGAACATATAGCTTTCATTTTACACAACAGTTGTCACGATTTCAGGTTTATACAAACCTTCAAACAAGATAATTTACCCCCTGAAATGTAGATGAATTCTGCATCGGCCCTCATAGCTATTCCTCATATGACGTCACAGAGACGCCCCGCTCTGATTGGTTGAAATTTTGTTCGCGGGTGAGAATTGTGCACTGTTGTCAAAAAGGTCGATTTAAGTTAATTAAAGACCGAAGTGAGTAGTTTCAATGACGGGGTTTCATTTATAGCAATGCCAGTTAGTGATTTATGTATTTGTACCCCCCTAGAGTATATGTGATCTTTAATCATTAATCAAGCTAGTTTTGAGTTTACTTATGTACTTGTACATGTCTCACCTCATCTTCTTAACTTATATTTCCATTTGTTTTCTCTCTACTCTTTCAGCATTTCATTCTATACTCAGCAGCAAAAAAACCCGTCAGTACGAATTCAAAATTAGATAGGCACTGTAATCAAATCATTACAGAAATTGACATAATAAGCAGATCAAAAACATATTCGGTGTACAATATCTTGACACATCAATGAACAACTCAGCACAATTTCAAGACATTACGTGAACGTTTGCAGTCCATTCATACCCTTGACTTCAGTATCTAGTGTGACCACCACGAGTGGCAATAACTGCAGCACAGCGTCTATGCATGGAGTGCACCAATCGATTGATGAAGGCCATTGGCACCTTGAACCACACTCTGAGAAAGGCCTGGTGCAATAAATCAGCTGTGTTCGGCCTTGGTTTGACATTATTCAGTATCTTCTGAATTTCATCCCAAAGATGTTCAATTGGGTTTAAATCAGGACTAAGGGCTGGCCACTGCATAATGTTGACACAGTTCTGCTGTAGGAAGTCCCGTGTAGCTCTGGCAGTATGGGCCCAGGCGTTATCATGCTGGAAAATGTTGTTCCGGTGACGTGAGAAATGTGGTATGACGTGGGGTCTGAGAGCTTGGTTGATGTAGCGCCCAACTGTGATGCCGCCGCCTCCTCTCCCTCGACCAAGGTTCTGGAACACCACAGAACACACTCTCCAGTTCAGGCCTATTCCATCCCATACCATGATGCTTGCACCTCCCCATGAGTCTCTTTCCATAACACATTGGTCTGAGTAAAGCTGGCCATGTCGTCTCCATATTCTTGTTCTGCCATCTGCAGTTGATACGCAGTACCGACTCTCATCTGTGAACAGAATAGTTCTCTATTGCCTGTATCGCCAGTTTTGGTGTTGTCGGGCAAACTGTAGACTTCACGCCGATGACGAGGGTGAGGATAGGTCCACGGTAAGGTCTATGGCAATGGAGATTCCCGCTGTTAAGACGTTGGCATACTGTATAAGTACTGATTGGTCTCCCATGTGTTCCCACTGTCTGGCGTGCTGTTTCAGATGCCTACATGAAGGGATTCTGTACATGCTGTCGCACAACATGGCAGTCTTGTCGTGTTGTGGTCACCCTTGGTCTGCCAGTACGGGGGCGTTCATTTGTGGTGTTGGTGGCCCGGAAACGTTGCTGCAGCCTGTAGATGGTCCGAACGTTGACATGGAAGTGACTGGCAACGGCTTGTGCAGTGTGGCCAGCTTCAAATCTTCTTAGCGCCTGGTTCCTCTGAGCTGTCGTGAGTTGCGGCATCCTGTTGATGTTGTAATGTGAATGTTTCAACCAGGTTTGGGGGTGCATTTTATAGGGCTGGTCCTTGTGAACAGCACGTGCAGCATGAGTTGCATGTAAAACATGGAGAACACCATACCATCTCCAAAATCAGGTTGTGTTTTTGACACCATTTCCTGGGTTCAATTCTGAGTTTGGGAAGGAATGTCTTTGCTCAGATAAAGTTGGAGATGTTGTCAAAAATATACAATTAAAGCATTAAATGAGTTTACAGTTATATGTTTTTGCGAAGGAAAATTCCAAACTGATGTTTCTTTAGCTGCTTAGTATATTTTTTTCAGTATTTTACCTATGTAAGAAATGTTTACCCAAAAAATAATTTCTGTCCCATTTTTATCCGAAAACTTTAAAAACAGTCAGGCCCTGGTCATTATTATCCCCCGCAACGCGTTTTGCGGGGGGTATTAAAATGGACTCCGTCCTTGCGCCTGTCCGTCTGTCTGTGCACATTTGTCTTTTCCGGAGCAGAACTCTAAAACCGTTCAATATTTCTTCACCAAACTTGGCACATACATGGATCTGGTGGTGTACTGGTGCCTTTTGGTAGTTTTGGAATTCTGAATTAAATATTTTTGGCATTTCCATGGCAACAAGTTCGACTTAGACTGAAATTGGTGGTAGTGCTCTTTTCTGGGCACATAGATAGATCTGGTGGTGTACTGGTGCCTTTTGGTAGTTTTGGAATTCTGAATTAAATATTTTGGCTCTAAAAGTTCCGTGAAATCAATATTTCTTCTTCACCAAACTTGGCACATACATAGATCTGGTGGTGTACTGGTGCCTTTTGGTAGTTTTGGAATTCTGAATTAAATATTTTTGGCATTTCCATGGCAACAAGTTTGACTTAGCCTGAAATTGTGGTAGTGCTCTTTTCCTGAGCTGAACTCTAAAACTGTTCACTATTTCTTCACCAAACTTGGCACATAGATAGATCTGGTAGTGTACTTGTGCCTTTTGGTAGTTTTGGAATTCTGAATAAAATATTTTTGGCATTTCCATGGCAACAAGTTTGACTTAGCCTGAAATTGGTGATAGTGCTGCTTTCTGGAGCAGAACTTTAAAAACCTTTCAATACTCTCCTTCCATTTTTCTATATACACACCTAAATATTTGACATAATCATAACTCGTAGACATAATCATGAAGAGTATTTTGCCATTGCGGGGGATATTGATGACTTTGTCTTCTTGTTGTTTTTGTAATGCCCAGTCTAATTTCCCACTCAATACAAGTATTTAGCTTGTTCTAATAATACTCGTAATACAATGTGTTTTGTCATGTGAAACACATAGGTGTCACTCCATCTTAATAGAGTGAACTTTTTGCATGAACCAATTGAATAAATATTTAATTTCATCTTTAAAAGTGTACATACAGTGACATAAAGGAGCAAGTTCATTTCTAATTTTAAGTACATGTATTTCTTGTGTTTACTGATACATGCTTTATATGTTTCTATTTATTCATCATGGAGGTAACCTATATATTTCCTTAATTTTGTTATGCATTCCCTTTACATATTGTCTTGAGGTATATCATGATAAGACGTTCAATCACCCTGTGTTAGCCTATCCCATTCTGATGTAATGGCATCAGCATTTCATTCATGAATGGGATAGTTTCCAGGCCAGGCCACGTGGAGGCCCAGGGTATCTGGCCCAAAAAGTGGTTACAATGTGTCATTTATAAAGTTCATCTCTCTACTTTATCATTATATCACAGAAAAACACCTCCCAAGAATAAGCTTGAACCATTCTTTATTGTCATGTTAGCTTCACTTATTTTGAGTTATAACCTTTATCATCCTGTTTCCCTCACTGGCATCTGTTCTGTATCTATGGCTTCTGGCACGGTCTTGATTGACCTTTTATCCTGACTGACTGGCATCTGTTCTGTAGTGAGGGCTTCTGGGAGGGTCATCACTGTCATGTTATCCTGACTGACTGGCATCTGTTCTGTAGTGAGGGCTTCTGTGAGGGTCTTCATTGTCCTGTTATCCTGACTGACTGGCATCTGTTCTGTAGTGAGGGCTTCTGTGAGGGTCTTCATTGTCATGTTATCCTGACTGACTGGCATCTGTTCTGTAGTGAGGGCTTCTGTGAGGGTCTTGATTGTCATGTTGTCCTGCTTCTGTGAGGGTCTTCATTGTCATGTTAGGGCTTCTGTGATCTGTTCTGTACTTTCAGGCTATATTGATTGTCATGTTATCCTGACTCACTGGCATGTGTTCTGTAGTGAGCACCGCTTTGAGGGTCTTGATTGTCATGTTATCCTTACTTACTGCCATCTGTTCAATATGTTAATGTTGTGAAGATTACAAATAGGGTACTCTTGAATTTATAACAGACATTATGTCAATCCCATTTTGTGCCAAATGTTGTATGTGGCTGTTGTATGTGGCTGTTGTATGTGCCCTCTGACTGTAAAATTGTCTGCACTCTAGATGTCTCACAACTATGTCAAATGGTGCCATTGGTGGATGATTGAATTTACTTTGCATCCTTGACATGTTTTTATGCGACCATTTAAGGCAATTAATTAGACATTGTTCTCGGTGTGTCCAGCCAGCCTAGTATGTGATCCATGAGACCTATTTTGCTTTTGTGTGCCTTTTCTTAGGAATAGAGATAAACTTTGTGATGTCTTGTTCTCGTTCTCTACACCATCTACCTGGCACACATTGCACACACATGTCTCAGTGTTCTAAATGATTCAATGCTGCCAGAGCATTTAAGGTGATACCAGTACCTGCATCTCTCACACTGAACCTGTAATACAAAGTGATTATTATTAATATTTGATCTTTATCATTTCAGGTGTGTGTCTTTTCTATCAGTCCAGAATGTTATGTATTAATTTTGTTATTCCACATGCATGTAAAACTTATTTACACATTATTTCTTCAGTAGCTGTCATAAATCCTTACCCGTTGTTGTACCCTTTCTTTGGTGCCATGTGTTCTCTTTTCACATCTTGTAGTGGCCTCCATACGTGTTGGCATTGAGCAGCCTCTACAGATATCTGCCATTGCAGGTAAATCTGAAACAACACATTCACATTTGTTTAGAAACTTTCACATTACTGTTAATTACTTATACATTTTGCAAATGTCCTTTGGTGTAACTTACTCGATTTTTCTTTTATGTTATAATAATAGAGTAGTATGTTTCGCTTTGTTTCAGTAATCTGTACTTACCTGCTTCTTGCAGCAAATGTGATGCTATGTGTATTCTGCACTCAACTGTATCAAATGGGGTACACATGTTCTCCCCCATCAAGCAGAAAGTCAACAAACTCACATTTGAAATTATCAGTTCATTAGTAGGAATTTGTACTAATATTTGGGGCAGTTATGTTAAACTGTGGTATCTGTTGTGAACATATTAACACAACTGATGCATATTGAATTCTCATGCTGAAATATTGTTTGGATTTGCTTCTTTGAAGTCAAATGTATTTGTTAGTGTTACCAAAATATTTTAGCTGTAATTAGCTTTCTAACATTTGTGTTACCTTCATCACATATACTAGCCACATAAAGAAACTGTGCATTGTCAAAATATTATCCCAGTTGATAAGTACGATAACAATGTCAAAGGTACATATAAACTTTAATGGAGGGATTATAAGACCATAACAAGTCGGGAGAATTTCAATTGAAAAGTCAATCACAATGACGTACGAGTCCACAAGCGGGACAGGAGTCAAACGACCATGTCACAAGCTCAATAACGGGTATGTCCACCATCGGCATTGAGAACAGCAGTGCATCGACAATGCATAGAGCCTATCAAATGTGCAAGGAAGGCTTGTGGGATGTCACGCCAGATTCTCTCAAGTTCTGTTGCAAAGTCAAGGACGTTATCTGGCGGATGAGGAAGACGGCATAGACGTCGATCCATCTCGTCCCAAACATGCTCTATCGGGGAGAGATCCGGTGAATTTGCAGACCAAGGCAGTAAGTCAACGTTGTGGTGTTGCAAGAAATCCATAGCAACACTTGCCGTATGAGGGCGGGCATTGTCCTGTTGGACTGTTAACCCAAGGGCCATGATGTTGCAGAAAAGGAATTGCCACAGGTCGAAGAATCTGATCCCTGTAGCCCACACCAGTTAAGTTGCCCTGAACAATCACCAAAGGAGTTCTTTGGCGTGCTGTTATTCCACCCCAAATCATCACAGAACCACCACCAAAGCGATCCTCTCCAAGACACAGGCCTGTGCATAACGTTCTCCCACGCGTCTATAGGCACGTTGACGTCCATCACTATGGGAAATGTTAAACCTGGACTCATCTGTAAAAACAACATTTCTCCACCAAAACAAGGGTCTGCGGACATGATTTCGCACCACATTCGGCGAGCTTGTCGATGACGTTGTGTCAGGATATGCCGTGTGGCGGAACGTCGTGGTCTGATCCCGTGATGATGTAAACGTTGTTGAACTGTGTTGGGGTGGATACGGCGAAGTCCTGGGATGGTTCGGGCAGTCATCACTGCAGTCTGAAACCTGTGGTGAAGATGGGTCACCCTTATCGATCTGTCCTGTCTAAAGATCGCGTTGTTAACACGTGGACGTCCCGAACGTAGCCGATCGATGACGTCATTTGTGTTCTGGTAGCATCTCACCAGTGCAGAAATGGTGTTCCAGTGGCAGTGGAAATGTGCAGCCACTTGTCGTTGAGACCATCCCAATGGCCTCATGACGTTGTGCAGACGTGAGCCTTGGCATGCTATGTGTTTCAATAGCCGTTTAATTTTTTGATGATTGCAAGGGCAGGGGTTGAGCTTTCCAAAGTGACAGTATTGTGTGGCATTCATTTGCTCTGTTTCTCTTTCCTGGAATGCATGTGCAACGACGTATTGCACGTCTCAAGGACGAACCCACTGACGTCACGGAACATGGCACGTGCATGCATGTTAGATGCATGTCACTAATCTCTGAGTTTAAATCCTTATGTGTCTACACAGGTTTGATAAATTTAGATTTTAAATTTTTGTATGCACAGTTTCTTTATGTGCCTAGTATATATTCCACAGCTTGTGGAGTGTTGCTGTAATGGATGTTTTACTGTTGTCAGCTTCCATCTCTTCTGAAGAGTGTCCTTGAGTAGACCCATTTTACATCTGCTCCTGAGTATTCTCTGCCAAGTTGACAAAACTGCCTCTTTACTCTGATGTGATGTATCTTCACCCATTGGGTTTATATATACAATCTCATAATTTTTGGGTATACCACAAACATTTGCCAGTGCTTTCCTGTCACATATGGTGCCAGTATCATCTCTTTCGAAAGAAGATCCACCTGTTCCAGAAATAAATTCAGTCTTTCAAACAATATTCTTTGCTTTATTCTTTTTAAAAGTATACACAGTTCATTCATTACTACTACATTTGTTACTAATTCTATAATATTTACAGCATATTACAACATAATCTAGTATTAACAAGTGATATTCTCATATGCAGTGTGTTAATGAATGAGCAGAAATATCTGCTCATAGCCAGGTCTGTTTTGGTATGTCAGTTATCAAGTGCGGATAACTCTTGAAATAGCAGATCATTGAACATCCTGGTTGGAATTGGTCTTCACCATCCCATGCTTGTTGTAAGAGGCAACTAAGGGGGGATTTGGGTGGTCAGACTTGCTTGACACATGTCATCATATGCTAAATGCATAGATCTATGCTCATGCTGTTCATCACTGGATTGTCTGGTCCAGACTTGATTATTTACAGACCGCCACCATATAGCTGGAACTTTGATGAGTGCAACAAACAAACCAAAACTTACACAGCATGTGAGCTGTAATCACCCAGCAGGCATACAGTAGGAAATATATTAATATATGTCATAGGGATATGAAACCTCTTCAAGAGTGGATACACATACATGTTAATGTATATAATCTAAGTGAATATTTAGAAAACAAAATTTATTTTCATATATTGTAGAATGACATCTTACATTGAAAAGTGCACACTGTTTGTCCAACTTGTTTACAAACAAAATGAAAATAAAACATTGTTACTCCAAAATTAAAAAAAAAAAATACAAATTCAATGTTTATTTTAGAAAATCTCACGCTTTATTGTGAGTGCTAATTTCAGCTATGTCTGTCAATGCATAACATTAGCAACATTTAGGTCTGTCATAAATGTGACATTATTTGTTATCAATAATTACTGATGTGTGGACTTTTCAATGGAAGATATCGAATATAAGCATAAAACAATATGTCACAACAGTGACTTTTGTCAGATCCTTGTCATGGAAATTGTACTGGTAGCATCTCTGATTGCACCAGTAGAGACTCTGATCGCAATCTCTACCCTGACATACACATGTGGAGCTATTGTTATTGGTATGTATTTGTCCACCAAAGGTAATCCTAGTGTTAGAACCTATGCAAACTTTATGACAATGGTTGTAATTCTTACATTCCTAAATACTGGTGGTTGTCCATGCTTGAGAATAACATCTGTGGCAGCAAGGCAGTCCATCAGCTATACATCATCTCGGTCGCCACATTTCACACTGCAGTATGCATTGAGTATCTGTAAAAAATGTTAAGCAATCATTTCACACAATAATACATGTGCTGCATTGTCACAATTCACCATTGTATATTTGGTTCCCGGTGTACTTCTTAACATACCATGATTAGACAACCGGGCTACTGCCTAATGTGACATTAAACTATTAACAAAATACATGCTGCTAAAATATCAGCTATGTCAGCATATCTATTTTGTTATGTTTTATATCAGTAAAAAAGTCATTCCAAAAGGGTTAATCCAAGTCAAGCATAATAATTTTGTGGAAAATTTCTTCTTTAATCCATTGCCATCAGGATTTTATTAACATGAACATCAAAATTACCTAACAAAATAGATATATATGGGTGTACCATTTGTCAAACAGTTATGCCATCATCAAATTTCAAATTAATTAGTTGTTATGGAAGTACCTCATCTGTAACTTCATGCCCTGGTCTCAGTGCTCCGAAGCTCCCTGTCAGTTTATGTCCATCTACTACAGCCATCACAGCATTTGTGTTTGAGCGTAACCTCCATATGGACTCATAATCCAAAGGTATTGGTAGCTGAAAGCAACATGAACAATAACTGTCATTTCTGTAATGTTAAAACTTCATATTTAATGGTTGTTGTCTTTGGGATACACTTGGCTCTTCATGCTGCATACCAGGGGTATATTTCTCTCATTCTTGGTGTTAACCACATTTTCCATTTTGGTGTAGTCTTAGTCAGCATGATGAGATGGCCGGTAATGCTCACTAACTATGATTGTATGTCATCACAACCAGATTGCTGGGATTGTTTTTACATCAAACACAGATGTGTCTTGTGCAGTCTAGATTGTTTTCTCACAGCAAACACAAGTAGCAAACCCTACTTCAGCAATGTCTACAATCCTGTTACAGTGTTAGCTCAATAACTTACAGGTTCACTGTGTCTCTTGTTGACCATATGTGTCTTATCTCCTTGTTTCTGTAAAGAGTGGAACATTTAGTTCATTATGAGGTCATATTGAAATCCAGTAAAAGCCTTTCTATATCTATGAGTCGCTATTAAGGCACAGGTACTATACTTACCTGTTTGGTTGTGTGAGCATGTGTTGTTTGCTTTACGAAAGGTTTTTTCCTCTTTCTCCTCTCAAATTATAACTCTGGTAAGCCATCTGAATCCTCATCTTGGTCCTGCAATTGGGGACATTATTAGAATATTCATTTTTCTACTTATCACCCACTATACAATAGAACGTTTAATTTGGGTGCAGTAATACATATTTTCTTTTTTTTTTTTAAATGTAAAATAATTTATTTTTTTTACATTGCAAGTATGTGTATTTAACATACCTCTGAGGTTTTGTTGTTATCAGATTCTTTGGTTAGGTCTATTACTACAGTGCTGTTTCTCTTACCTCCCTCGAATGCAGCTGACTGCCTAGGATTGGAGAATGGGGTTCTTATCTTTACCAGCATAGTACCAGTTATCACAAATATTTATCACTTCATAGGAACTTGCCAGTAGTGCTGGGAATGGGTTGAAATTTCTCTCTGATAATTGGTTCATCACTTATCACTAATGAGCAATCATTGAGAAAAATTGGTTAGCATCATTTTTCACTTTCCTGTTCAGGACACGGTTGTATCAAACTTTCATGAAGCATTAACGTGCCATTAAACGTTCAGGAACTAATGTTTCATTAAATTCTGTTGTACTAATATTATAATGATGCTCTGTTGTCATTAGTGCGTCATTAACTTAATGAAGGTCCTGGGGTATCATTAGAGCGTCATTAAACTTCCTGGAAAAGTGAACATTGCGCCAGAATTTCGTTTGCGCCGCACTGGATCTACCTACAGCTATAAAATTACACAGATATGTAGAGTATTAAATGTCGTATCTCATGGTATAAACTCAGTTTGAAAAGTAGACACTGCTGAAGATAAGATAAGATAAGATAAGATATTTATTGCATAGCATTCCATGAAGAAACAGTGGCAATATTCTATAAGCTACACATATTTACACAGTAGGTACAAGAAATATAGATACATTTCACACATAAATGATGTACATTATAACAATTTTTAGAAATCATGTGGTATAATGACATGGAAATAATATATGAGGAGACTATGGTAAGATATAACATTCATTTAAAGTTGTAAAGATGGTGACATATTTTGGAAATTAATTCAGGACTTCTGTTCGTGAAAATTATTAAGAATTGTTCTTTTTTTGAGAGTGTAGTAAATTCTTGGTCATAATATAGCATTGTGTGTATAAGTGATTCCCTTTCTTCGTTATACTTGGTACATGATATTATATGGTGTTGCTCATCGTCTAAGACACTGCACATTTCACAGAGACGTTGTTCTAAAGGGGTTGCAGGTTTTGTATATCTTCCAGTTTCAATTTTGAGTTTATGATTACTTAACCGTAGTTTTGAAAAATGTGATCGATGAGCTTTGTTTTTACAATGAAATAGGTAATTTTCGAGTTTTATAGATGACTTGACAATCTGTATGTTCTTAATTTGTTATTTGAAGTAGGGGAATCACTTAGTGAATGCTTGAACATGTCTTCACATTTTGACTGGAGTATATTCATGGTAGATAGATTACATTTATTCGTGTTCGCTATTTCAAAAGTTTGCTTTATTTTATTAAGTTTATGAACCCAGCCTATATTGTGATCACAGAGACTGATATTTGCTTCCATGGCATCTTTGAGGATGATATTTGTTGTATTATCTATATGGAACTTGTAATCAATTATCTTTTTTGATGATTGGTACTAGTAATGGGTACACACCTAGTTCTGCGCGACAGGCCCAGTTATGTGTTTTCTTGCCTACTCCTAGCAATGATTTACAAAACTGAAGCTGTAGTTTTTCTGGGAGCAGTGTGTCAATATTTTTTAACATTGTAAAATCGAATGTTAGTGTTGAATGTTACTCCTAATTTTGTTATGCGTTAAAAACAGTAAATTTATCTGCTTTTTATCGTGCACTGATAAAAGCACTGTGCTACTATCTTTTCAATTTGGCATCTTTACGGAAAGTGTGAGCGAACAAAATTCTGCCTGATACCTGAATGACATAGGTATGTATTAAATTAGTCTGTGTGCTTATGTATAACGTTATACTACACTCAATCTTAAAAGTGACTCGCTTAATATTGTTACGAGTGAAGGTGTGATAAAGGGGTATATGACACCAATTCACCCGTAACAATGACAATGGATCACACAACAATCTGACTAATTGAGGAAGATTTATTTATACTATCCTAACAGAAGGCTGATACAGGTTACCAATTTACAAATGTGGAAAGTGAAGAGGGAATTGTCTTAGATATATTATGGGCAAAGCAATATGGCATAGTCACCTCATTTTTAAATCCTTCCTGTACACCATGATTTCCTAGTTTCCATATTTGACACAGTCCCGACGTGGGTGCAAGTTTGTGAATTCACATTATGGGTACAACCACAACTGGCAAAAATCCTGTCCTCAAGAAACATCCCAACTAGATCAGAATCACCGAGCTTCTCCCTATAAGCTGGCTGGCCACATTCAATTAACTGACCAAAGCTGAATTCATCAAACCCCAAGCTGTACCACTAGTTACATAACAATTTCTCGCTCAAGCGAAGGCCCCTCACCCCAAGCTAAAACTAATTACACCAAGTATACTCATCACTATCTAAAACTGTACATTATATTTGCAAAATATGTTTCATCACCCATAACAATATGTGTTAAAAAATGTTTTTTCCACTGTGACATCAAATGGCTACATAAAGG